TCGCGTCGACGTGACGCGACGCGACGCGCGTGTACGGTGTTAACGCATGGAACCGTCCCCATTCCTGTCTGATGAAACTGCAGGTCTCAGGTCGCTGGAATGTACGGCGAGGAAATTCTACTTATTTAATATTACTTTCGTTCTACCGAGACCTGGGGCTGATGGATGATTAAACTAATCGGTAGATATCTATCACTAGTTATTTATTCTAATGTGCTAAAAATGGTGACAGTAGTATTAGTCAATGACAATTGCGCCAATCAGCCGAAGCGAACAATGTATGACGTATGTACAAGGTATGTTGTTCTGTGAACTCCAGATGTGAGTTAGTACCGAAATGGAAGGAAGATACACGAAGCAGTAAATGTGAAAACAACAATTTATATTTCGTCTTCGAAAGGATGGACTTTAGGACATTTTGCACTCTTCCCAATGAGTATCATAATCTTCCTTTCATCTGACTTTACAATTGAACTGAATCGAATGATCACAATGTTATTATACCGCTACGAAACTGAACCACCCAGTAGAATCCGCCAGCCCATGTCATCTCTTCCCTGTGAAATTGTCCGATCGACCAGGCCAGGAAAACGAGAACGACTCTAACCCCACTTGATTGTTGATGTCAGCCGCTATCAAACCCCAATCGACCCGACCAACATTGCCAATGTCGCTAGTATCATCGTTGTCATCCTAATCGTCGTGGACACCTGATCGTGCCCGTTGCTCGCGCGGTTCATCGTCGAGCGGCTGCGTTTCATTGTGTCGGAGCTAGGCACCCATGAATATACCCTCCGGCCGGTAGCAACCGGGCAGGGAGCAACATAATATATTCCCGATTCGGTGGCCCGATGTTCTAAAGGCGACTATCGAGTTGTGGTCGGCTAATTTACGATCCCAGCCAAATGGACGTTGGGTTTAGTGGACGTGGCCTCGGAGCCTGGACCCTGCTACACAGCTGCCTCTCGTTTTCTCCGATGCGAAAGCCTTCCGGGAGTTTGTTATCGCTGCAGAAGGCTGCAGCCAGTGTGCAGAGGCCACGCGGCGCCCTGGACAATCGACTCCCGCGAGATTAATCGTGGCCGGTAGCTGGTCAGAGCTGCGGCGATGTATAATAGGAGGGAGCATCTATCGGCTGATGGGCCAATTACCTGGAAGACGGGGTCTGGGTTCGTCAGGTGATCGTGGATTACCGTGGTAGCTTCTGTTCAAGAAAGTCCGTCCGGCTTCTGAAGAGCTTACCTACTTCGATCAGAGTGTAAACAGAACCAATTATTTCTGCCGTCGCAAGGTCCAACAGATTGAATACCCTAAGTGGGCTAAGCTTTACATAAGGTGTGAGCGCTTAAAGATATGAACTATGGATAACCAGCCTACCGTAAATGAACATTCCAGATTCAAGAGGATCGAATACATTTATTACACCAGGCTCAGGCTGGAGGCTACTCCTGGTAATAATTGATTATCCATACGCACATCCAGCCCAGACCGAGTCGGGTGTCCCGATTAGTCAAGGCTAGCCATCTGGACGACCCAGAAATCTCAATCGCCGGCACGCTCTTATCCTCTCGAAATGAAAGAGCCGCTTTGATACACCCCCGTCCATCAAACCGAACCCCACCTTCTACCCATCCATCTCGGATTCTCTTTCCTCGGCCGGCTAAAACATTTCACAGGCAGGCTTTTATACCTAGCGCGGTTACGGAGGAGGGGCGGGAGAGATGGGGGAAGTCGAAGAAGGGCAAGGACGAGGGAACCGGGCGCAAAGACAATAGAACGTCGACGTAGGAAGAGGACATCGCGCGCGGCGTAGCGGAGAGAAGCACGGGAAACTGTGCTTCTTTCTTTATTTTTTTCTTTTATTTTTTTATTCGCCTGGCGGACCGATCGGTCGATGGTCCAAAGTCGACTGTCAGGCCGCGACGGTCGGGTGCTAGCGGCGTCGCGACGCCTGCGCTTCAGGTTTCGTGACTCCGTCAGACGGCGCCCCGACGCTGGTACCGTCGGACGGACCGGTCGGTCGGGCCACCAGTCAGCCTCCAGTTGAGCCAGCAGCTCTCTCTCTCCCTCTCGCTCCCTCCTTAGTCGCGCGCGTGCACACGAACACAGACACAGTGACGTGCACACTCTCAGCCAGAGTACGGAAGTACGGCGCGGTAGCGCGGTCGCGCGCACGCAAAGAGGCGCCCACGTCACAGTGTGGACCGGAGTAACACGCGCGCACACGCAAAAGAGCCCCCGTTCTCTTCGTTTCTCCGTCGTTCGGCCCCTTCCCCGACATCCTGCGAGAGCCTCTCTGTCCGACGGACGACACGAGAGGGAGTCCGAGTTCTCCTGGCTCGTCCCCTCGCGGCTGCAGTGCGTTCCCAAACACTCACGAGAGTGAACCTCGAGCGACCCGCGGTACGCACGCACGCACGTATCTAAAGTCCGTCTAAAGGACCACGAGGAGAACCATCATCGAGTCGATCCCTGAGTGGATGAACGGATGTGTCGCGATCGGAGGAACACGTACGGAGAAACTTTAATGCCGCGATAAAAACGTACCGTTGAGTCCTGCAGACCATCGAGATGTCCAGACACACGTCGTGAAACCCTGTTTCTAACTACGTACAGCCTTGATCATCGTGGATATTCGAAACCCTTGTTCAGTTCGTTTAAGAAAGATCGTCCCTCGTCAGAGCTGCCAAAACGTTTTCCCGCCGCGTGTGACGAAGGAATTACAAGGATCGTGCGTGCGAGCCCGAGGATACACTGGGATCTCGTGACGGGCCGCGTAACGGGAACGTAGAAAAGTGACGGGAACGTGAACTGACCTAGGAGCAACTTCGTTGTTTTTGGTGACGGTGACCTTCATCAGGACTGACGAGGATTTTCGGACTAATCGACCGAGTCGATACGTGTCCCAGTCGCGAATGGAAGAAGTCTCGCTGATGGCCGAGTGAATATCGGATAGTTCGAGGGTGACCGTCAGGCGGATAAGAGCGGGGTTGTGCGTGTGCCCGATGGGAAATGTGTCGGGGGAAGAGGTGTCGAGGCTCACAGGCTCGATGGAAAAGCTAGCAGCAGCGTGACTGTCGCTATCGCGCGATCATCCTTCGGAGACCGAGAGGTGGAGACGGGCGGGGAATACGTGGTCGCAAAGTGGTCGGCTGTAAGTATAGCAGCGGGACGAGGATAATCGAAGAATCGTCCGCGATCGCTGATCCAGCCGACGACGTTGAAGTGGCGAAGCCTGAACGAAAGATCGTTGTGCCATCCTGTTGATCCTGAGTGTCAAAGGACGCGCCGGGTGTTTCAGGGGCGTGTATCGACGTATCTCGAGCGTGTAAATAGGTGTACATACAGGGACGGTCGACTTATGGACACGGAGGATCCCTTCAGCCTCCTTTTTTCTCTCTCACTCCCACTTGTCCGCCTTGCCAGTCGCGAGATAGAAATGCTCTTAATCGTCTGAATAACAAGGTAACCCCGTAAATCGTACGATTAAGGAAACACCGGAATTATATTATGTCCGAAACGCGGTGAACGGTGTATTCTAGGTGTATATAAACGGGTCGTTCGATGTGGTAAATGTCTATAAATCTGTATTAATCGAGTTCAGAATTTTTCGTCGCGCGAATGTGTGCGTGCCTGTGCGTTTGTAGGATCTGAACAGTCCTCTCTCTATCCCTCGAGTTTCGTTTTTGCCGTGGCGGCGTTCAGTTCTATTTGGATTAACGGTAATTTTAGAGAAAACGAAACAAATAATAAGAATCGTACTAAGAATACAATTCGCAAAAAAAAAAAAAAATAAAATGCAAGTCGGAGCAGTACGGGTATCCAGCGCTTAGCCTTTTTAGCAACGGTGCGATAATTAATTAGCTCGCGGCCGTATACGTCGAAGCGTTCGCAACGTCGAGCCGCGCATAGAAACACAGAATACCAGTGGCGGTTGAGGGGTGTGAAGAAGTCGGTCGACCCCACCGGTGGAAGGGAAACCGTGTGACGCGTTTCCGTTCGCGAGGACTCGCCGTGACGATAGTGCGTAATCGTCGCGCGCGTTTCATTATCGGTTCTGTAGAGACACAGGGATTGCTCGCGAAATCACAGCTCGTCCAGGTTGATCGTCGGGTTGGATACTTAATTCCCAGGCCTGGAGGAGGTGTCTGAGCCGTTCGAATTTAATCTAAGAGGAGGACAAAAAAGGGGGACCAATTTTTCACGCTCATTCGTAATCTCTATCTCTTCCTACTTCTCCATCTCTGGTCAGTCATTTCTCTCTTATCTCTCTCTCTCTCTCTCTCTCTCTCTCTCTCTCTCTCTCTCTCTCTCTCTCTCTCTCTCTATCCACCTTTATCACCTTAATCCAGTCACCCAGCAGGCTATCCATAAATCTCTCTGTACGTTCTTTCCGTATTCACTCCGTCATCGTGAGACCGGGTATCCGGTCGTACGCTGAGAGGGAGTCGCAACTCGCGCAAGCAATAAATCAAGGTCCAACTAGTAAGACAGACGGTCGAGACCAGGTGAGCAAGTGACGCGTATTAGCGGGACGGTTCACCGCCTTGTCGGCAAAATCAGATTCTAAAAAAGTTCCGGTCCAACGAACCATTCCCCTCTCGGAGAGGGTTAGGAGTAACCTCGTGGATAGCTCGAGTGTACGTTAAGATTAACTGTCGGTGCACGGTGTCGACGTAACAGGTAGAGAATAATCGGGTGTTCCTATTCCACGTGTCTATTTGTCTTATCGAGGGAATAGAGCTCGATAAATAAATTAAATCCACGGGTCGGTCACCAGACGCGGCGAGAGGCCATTGTCCGTTTGACGACGATGCGATCATCCTGAAACGGGCATGACGCCCCTGGCCTCGAGATGCGACGAGACCACCACCATCCTGCTGTTGCTGCTACTCGAGCTGGCGCCCGGCGCACGGTGTTACTCGCGCGCTGCCACCACCGCAACGTACGTCGCGACTTCGTCGAGATAGCATCAACAGTCGACGGCGAGGGTGCGAGTGATGCCGCTTCACGGCAGCATTATGACCATCGACGCCGGTAGTCCGACAACGGTGTCCACAAGCGTGTTCGAGGAGAACATGACGTGGTCTCGACCGACAACCGGTGGCTCGCAGTCAAACGCAAACGAGGCCCTACCGAGTCGAACGATCCTCTACGAGGACCATCTCCGCCGATTTCTAAGATTAGCCACCACTTTTAGCATCGAAGACAAGGGGATTCTGAACGGTGATCGAGAACCAAACGGACAAACGATTGGATCTAACGGAAATAATACCGAGGAGACGATTCGACATCAGGTAGAAACGGATAGGACCGGTTGTGCCTGCGATAGACTGAACCCAGGAGCTAGATTTGGGGATCGGGATACCTTACTGTCTGGCGCGTCCTCCGGTTCACCGCCGTACCTGGCGTCGAACGATACCGACCAGGTAGCCGGCAGTGGTGAGGGAAGTACCGTCGACCTGGACGACACCACAGCGATCGGTGTTAGTAGCACCGACAAAGAGGACGCGGCAGGACTTAGAGAGCTGGAACTACTGTTCGGTCTAGGGGGCATCATGGAAGACCTCGATGGATCTTACAACGACTCGTTAAATCAGAGTCTGATGGTCCCGTGGAACAGTACTCATTACAACGACACGTACATCGTCCTCGGTGAGGGATTATACCCATCCGGTTACACATTGCCGCATATAATACTGGCCTCCGTCCTCGCGACACTGCTAATGATCGTGATCGTGGTCGGGAACATGCTTGTGATTATCGCGATCGCTACCGAGAAGGCGTTGAAGAATATCCAGAACTGGTTCATAGCCAGTCTGGCTGTCGCCGATTTCTTCCTCGGGCTAGTGATCATGCCGTTCTCGCTCGCGAACGAGATCATGGGCTATTGGATCTTCGGGTACTGGTGGTGCGACATTTATTCCGCGATGGACGTGTTACTGTGCACCGCGAGCATCATGAACCTTTGTCTGATCAGCCTGGACAGGTTCTGGAGCATCACGCAGGCGGTCAAGTACCTGAAGAAGAGGACACCGGCCAGGGCAGCGCTGATGATCGCCCTTGTGTGGCTGTTGTCCGCCCTGGTCTGCATCCCACCGTTATTGGGATGGAAGAGGCCAACGCCTGCTGAGGAGTATCCCAAGTGTAAGGTAAGCTAGCACACCGTTTGATCAAACGAGTCTTTGTCCTTGAGGGCGGTAGGGATCGATTATGATTCGATGTCATATTCGATCGTGCGGGTGAGATCGAAGACTCGACGTAGATTTGGAAACACTAGCCCTCCTATTTGATGCTCAATCCTCTTCGGAAAACACTCAAGGACATCAGTACTTAACGCCCCCGTGGTGAATTTGGGTGGTTAATGTTTAAAACACAATTTAGCCGCTACTCTTCGTAACCAGTATCCCAGGCTAATTCAGAAGTTAATTATTTCTACGGAACCGGACACGTCCTCGGCACCCCAGCAGTTGCGGATGACAGATCACTGACTCGTGTTTCACCTTTAAGACACGGGATTAAATCGCGGAAACGTGGTTAGAAGACGCGTCCATTAGTCGACATTTCCAGGAGTCACTGCGTTGGTCACCGGTGACCGTCAGGTAAAAAACAGTTCCAATGAGAAATTATACAACTGGTGTTAACGGAATGTCTGACGAAATTGGTTCTTCGCGATGAACGTGTCGAATATCGTGACCAGTAATTGCCCAATTTGACGATTTATCGCGGAAGAATTTCGATCGAGCGCCTAATTACTTCGTGGAAGGTTAGTCCATTGTTTGATCGCTCGAAACGATGGATTACCTGGCTCGGAAGGAGCCGGGCTCGAATCCAAATTCGCTGGATTTAGTTGGGTTTCTTCCACCGCGCACGGAAAGGTTCGGGCGATTGCGGAGCCACTTGGTTGTGATAGAGATCCCTTTTCAGTAATTTCGCCGCTGATTGCACGGATTATCCGAGGCGATCTTCGAGTTTGAAAGACGTTTAGGTGTTTTTGAGCGTGAAGCATTCGATTAACTGACGTATTATTGATTCTATTCTCGAGACGACGTTAGTTGATGATGCAGGGTGTCTTGTTTAAATCGATCACCTCGAATATCTCTAAAATTATTTATGATACCAGAAAGTGTCACTCTTGGTACCATTCGACTGTTGTTTGAAACACTTTCCAGGGTCACAAAGAATTTCAGAGATATTCGAGGGGATCGATTTAAATGGGACACCCTTTATACTCATTCTATACTATGGTCGGCACGATCTACTCCATATCTTCTTAACATTAGAACTACCAATAGTTAAGACGAAGCTATTTCTTCTACCAAAACCAGTCGAAATGACTGGTCTTTAAGAAATACGTAATAATAGAATATTTTTATATTTATCGATTTATTATAAAATGAATTCCATGGTATTCAATTATATCTACTGTATAATGATAACTATAATAACTATAATAATTAAAGAATTAGGTCCTATTCCAACTTAACTCCCTTCCAGTGTAAACTGATTTGGTGTTATTTCCGATTTAATAGAACCGTCAGTAGAATCAACAAATTTATAATCGACCCCAGTGTTGGTGCCATAGAAAATACAGACTTACATTTCGTACAAACATCCACAGTCTACACGTAACGTTCCAAGGACCCAGTCAATTGGACGTTCATACCTGTCAGACATTTCCGAGTCAATTCCGAAGAGTCTTCCGCGCGGCCAATTCCAAAACCCTTCTCTGTATTACCAATTTCAAGTCAGAGTATTTCCACGGTGTTTCCTGCGACGGACACGCGAGAACGTTCGGAACAGGATAAGGGGCGAGGAGTATCGGACGGTTGCCTTTTATGCAGGCGATGAAAGCCCACCCTTATCCTGAACACCTTGCTCCCACCCCTCGAAACCAGCTTACGTTGCCCACTACAAAACGCCCCGCCAAGATTGGATTTCTATGCCCGACAGGTTTGGGCGCACAGAGCAGACTCGTGGTAACTCCAGCCGCGCCTTTCCTTTTCTCTTTCGACTTTCTTCTCGAGCGTTCCGATTCGCCCTGTCGATTTCTGCGCGGAAACTGGTCCGAGCCATTCAACCCCGAAAAACGATTCTACTTCGAAAGAAAAAAGAATGATAAAAAAAAAAAATAAAAATAAAATTCGCTCGTGGTCCACCCGGAACGACAAGGTTTATCGTTCCCATCGATCTCCTCGTTGTTTGTTACTAATTGGAGGGCCCGAGCCGCGTCCGTACGGCTGACTCGTTTCTCGCTCGTGTGCCGCGCGCTATTTAATTAACCCCAGCCGCGTGACCGGGCACCAGCGTGATGTTTTTCAGCGACGAATTTTGGAACGGCCGGCCATGGACGAACGCGAGTGTTATTAATACCGTGCGACTGAGCATCGACAAACGGGTGGCTACCTGTTGTCGATCGGATAAATCGCGCCCTTAACGCTATGATCGTTAACAGTGACACGGCGCTGACGTTTAATCGTCCAGTCGTTACGGGGTGTTGATGAAAATATGGGACGATTTTGTATGGGGGATTCTATATGACAAACTAAGACGAAGATCGAGAATGGCGAAATTATGTTCGAGGCTTCGTTTCTAATTAATTGTTGAAGGTACTGTGAATTCTAGATGAGTGTCCGAAAGACTGAAATAATGGCATAAACTAATGGCTATATGCTGCTGAAACAAATATTGCTTTCAGCATTCCAAGCTCTGTCACTGTGATAAATCTCATTAAATAATCAACGTTACATCTGGAGACCTTTCCTTGTCGGTGCAGAGGAGCCTTCAAACACTCATCCAGGATTTACTGTATTTCAATATTCATCCTTATTTTCTTAACTTCCTAATTCCCTGTAACATTTACTGTATACCCGATAAGTGTCCTCAAAAATAGGATTGTACGAATGAAAATTGTTTCTTTCCTTTTGGTGCCAGTCGAATGAAATTTTATTCGAATAAAAGTTCGATAGTTTTCTTCGAATAAAATTTCACTCGAATAAGTTCCGAATAAAAGTTACGAATAGAACGAATTTACCATAGAGTAAGGATTAAGTTTTAGAATGGAAGGGTCGTGTATGATGGGAATGCATTCTAATTCGCGGAGGTGGAACCCGTTGACTTCCGGTTTCGTCGATCTCGCTGGTCCCGCGACTCGTAAACAAGGCAGACAAGACGGAACAGAAACCTCGCGGAATCAGCCGGGTAAGCTTGTCGGGCTAAGCTCCCCACGTGTTGACTGAAGTCGACATTAAGTTCGCGCGATACGCTCGCCGAGGAAAATCCTGTCCTCGCCATTAAGCGGTCGCATCCGTGTCACGGGTCGTGTAATGCAGGAATAATGGCCCGTGTCGCGGAGCCTAATGCTTTATTAAGACGGTTCGCGATCTATCATCGCCGTTTACGCTGTAATCGTCGAATGGAGGGGTTTTATGACAGGTTCGTCCGTGAATTGAACTGTACCTGATCGAGCTGGCGAACTATCTATCGTAAAATATTAATCACGTATTAAAAGCAGTAATATCGTATCGTTGATGGCTGCAAATATGGAAGAACTGGAATTTAAAGAATTGATCTACAGGGTGGACCATGAAACCGTGATCAGCCTGGATTATTCCACTGCTGGTTGTTCGATCGATACATTTTTCTATTTTATTCTAAACAGAATAAGTTATTTAAGAGATGCAGGAACCTTCTACATTTGCTCTTATTTTTGTGAATTACTTTAGAAAATATCGTTTTGCATAAAAATCCACAGTCTAGGTGTGATAATCATTTTTATGAGTATTTATGTTATTTCGATTGCTTTGGCAGTTTCAGTGCTAATCAATGATTTACCGGGTGGACCACGAAACGTGAAATTAACATTCTTAACCCTCGGAAGGTGAACGCTCTGAAAAAGTTTCTATAAGAAGAAATTGTGTAGAAAATTTTACACATAATTGCAGGTTCATATATTATATTTTTATATAATTACAAATAACACGGCAATAACTGCAGATGGGTCAAAATGAATATGTAGTCATTACTTGTCTAAACGGTTTAGGTCGAGGCTTCTAAAAGTAACTCTGTATTTCAATGTCGAATTTTTCGTTGTTTTTATATTCATTCCGATACCAGTAAATCGATCGTTCGGATAATCTGATGGATTCGTTGAAGTACGAAATCGTCATGCAATTATCGGCTGTATCTACATTCGAACGGCCCGGGGGAAGGAAAATAGTCGACAGTTTGGCCATCCTGGATATTGGATTCCATCTACCACGGCCCAATATATTCCAAATCTCTTCTACACACAGCTCCGTCTCGTCGGCAGATATATCTGATCTTGGTCAAGCGTAAAGCCTCCGGATCGGTGGATCCTCGCTGGATGGGAGTAGACCAAGGAAACTGAAAATTTATTTACCTGGAACTTCACCGGAGGCCTCGTAAATCCAAATTAAATACGCTCAGAGCGTCACTGGCGTCTACAGGATTTGCTGGATAACAAATTTCGAAACGTGTTCGCGGCGAGATCCAAGACAGCATTTTTTATAGAAAAAACTGAAATAATCCTCTAAGTTTGACGTATTTTTGAAAGATGACAATCCTGCGGGTAATTACACAAAGAAATACTGTATCCTTACCATTCTGGACACGTCGAATGGTTTTAGAGATCACCAGTAATGTCAAAATTGTAGGTTTAGAAAAACTGTACATGCATCGGAGAGGACCAGAAATGCTGACCCTCGGAATGGAATGAAAGTTTGTAGGTTTATAGAGTGATTCAAGGGAAGAATGATGGTATGTTTTATTCATGCCCAATTGCACTTTAAGGACGGGAAAACTAACCACAAAGTCAAATAGGCTAGACCACTTTTTTGAAGAAAATCTATCAGACTAAAGTTTAATGGTATACTAAGCGCTATAAACTTGCGTTAACAAAATTATGATAAAAGTTTTTTTCCAAAAAGAAAAATTTATGAATACTTCTTTACAATTTTGTTGACGCAAGTTTATAGAGCTAATTGTGCCATTAATCATCTCGAAAACGAAACTACAAATGAAAAAATTTAGGGTGTTCGGATACTGGAGGCTTTACTGTACACCGATCCAGCGTAACATTACCCAAAGACGATTCGAAAAATTTCATTATCCAACCACAAACCTCGTTGTATAGACGTTC